ATACATTCAATGCAATGCCAATTGAAATTCCAACACTATATTTCACAGAACTAGAAAAAAGAATCCAAAAATTCATTTGGAACCACAAGAGACCTAGAATAGCAAAAGCCATTATAGGCAACAGTCACATGGCACCAGGTGTAACAATTCCCAATTTGAAACTATACTACAAAGCCACTGTGATAAAATCAGCATGGTACTGGCAAAGAAATAGGCCTGAGGATCAATGGAACAGACTGGAAGACACAAAAACAAATGCAGATGTACTCAGCTACCTCATCTTCGACAAAGGAGCTCACCATCCTCAGTGGAGGAAAGATAGCCTCTTTAATAAATGGTGTTGGAAAAACTGGATATCAACCTGTCACAGATTAAAATTAGACCCTTATCTTTCGCCATGCACTAAATTAAAATCCAAATGGATTAAAGATCTAAATATTAAAACAGAAACATTAAACTTGCTGGAAAGTAAGTTAGGCAGAACTCTGGAAGACATTGGTATAGGAAAAGACTTTATGAACAAATCCTCAGTAGCACGGGAACTAGCAGAAAGAATCAACAACTGGGATCTCATCTTACTAAAAAGCTTCTGTACTTCAAAAGAAACCATTAGCAGAACTAAGAGACAATCTACAATGTGGGAAAAAATTTTTACCAGCTGTACCTCAGACAAAGGACTATTATCAAGGATATATAAAGAACTCAAAACAATCAGTCCCCCCAAATATAAAGACCCGATCCAAAAATGGGCATCCGAAATGAACAGACATTTCTCATACAAAGAAGTAAAAGCAGCAAGAAAATATATGAAAAAATGTTCCACATCACTGGTCATTCGAGAGATGCAGATGAAAACAACACTGAGATTCCACCTCACCCCACAAAGAATGGCTGCTATCAAGAAATCACACAATAACAAATGTTGGCGGGGTTGTGGGGAGAAAGGAACCCTTCTCCATTGTTGGTGGGAGTGCAGACTGGTGCAACCACTATGGAAATCAATATGGAGATACCTCAAAGAGCTTGGACTGGAGGTTCCATTTGACCCAGCCATCCCTCTGCTGGGTATCGTTCCAAGAGAACTAAAAGAATCATATCACAGAGAAGTATGTGCACCCATGTTTATAGCGGCACAGTTTGTAATAGCTAAATCTTGGAAACAGCCCATTTGCCCATCCGTTGGAAACTGGATAAAGAAGATGTAATTTTTCTATAAAATGGAATATACTCAGCCTTAAAGAATGAGAAAATAGATTCATTCATAGAAAAATGAATACATATTGAAGATATACTCCTAAGTGAAATAAATAAGTAACACATGTGTAAATACCGAATAGTTTCCCTGGTGTGAATAATCTACAATAATACATAAGATCCTAATAAGATTACTGACATTTGGAAAAGGGAAGAAAGGAGCTAAAGGTGTAGGGAAGGTGGGATGGGTAGGGGAAGAGTAATAAGGGAAAAGAAAAAAATGTGAGATAATGAAAATAAAGTGTTTATAGATGGGGAGGGGAGGAGGGGGTGAAGGGAGGGCAGGGGTAAGGGGAAAAAATGATAATCAAGACTTGTCATGTAGAGGTACAAGATCCCAACAATGAATGTAACTGTACTGTATCCCTAAAATGTACCAATAAACTCAATTAAAGCTGAAAAAAACTGAAATCCTTCACAATAAAATCAGGAACAAGATAAGGATGTTCACTATCACCACTCCCTTTCAATATAGTTTTGGAAATATTATCCATGGCAATTAGACAAGAGAAAGAAATAAGAGGAATAAAGATAGGAAAAGAAGATGTCAAATTGTCATTATTTGCAGATGACATGATACTCTATATAGAAGATCCCAAGGACTCCACCAAAAGTCTTCTAGACTTAGTAACCAAATTCAGTAAAGTAGATGGATACAAGGTCAACAGAAAAAATCAATAGCTTTTCTCTACACGAACAACAGACTCACTGAGAGAGAAATAGGGCAAATAATTCCTTTCACAATAGCATCCAAAAAATTGAAATACCTAGGGATCCACCTAACGAAAGAAATGAAAGACCTCTACTCCAAAAACTACAACACTGAAAAAAGAGATTGAAGATTACATTCCCCACACCTCCCATCTCTACCCTAACCACCTTGGCTGGAAAACAGAGTATGAATGTGGAAAATGGAAAGACATCCCTTGCTCCTGGGTAGGAAGAATCAACGTAGTGAAAATGGTCATACTTCCAAAACTGCTGTACAGATTCAGTGCAATCCCAATTGAAATCCCAGCAGCATACTTCATGGACCTTGTGAAAATAATTCAAAAATTCTTTTGGAACAAAAAGAGACCTAGAATAGCAAAAGCAATTTTGGCCAATAAAGAGAAAGTAGGGGGTTATCACATTCCCTAACTTGAACCTATACTACAAAGCTACTGTGATAAGAACAGCATGGTACTGGCAAAGAAACGGACCTGAGGACCAGTGGAACAGATTAGAAGATGCAGAAACAACACCAGACACACTCAGCCACCTCATCTCTGACAAAGGAGCTAAACAGTCTCACTGGAGGAAAGATAGCCTCTTTAATAAATGGTGCTGGAAAAACTGGGTTTCAACTTGCCAAAGATTAAAGCTAGACCTATGTCTCTCAGCAGGCACTAAACTAAAATCAAAATGGATAAAAGATCTAAATATTAAAACAGAAACACTAAACTGGCTGGAGAAGTTAGGTAGAACTCTTGAAGACATTGGTGTAGGAAAAGATTTTGTGAACAAAACCTCAGTTGCCCTTGAGCTAGCACAGTCACCAAGTGGGCTCTCTTCTTATTAAAAAAGCTTCTGCACGGCAAGAGAAATGAGAAATGGGAAGAGACAACACACAATGTGGTAAAATTTTTCACAAGCTCTTCCTCCGGTAAAGGTCTACCATCTAGAATATAAAAAGAACTCTAAAAATACAGACCTCCCAAATTCAAATACCCAGTCCAAAAATGGGCATCTGAAATGAGCAGACATTTCTCAAACAAAGAAATAGAAATAGCAAATAAACATATGGTAAAATGTTCAATACCACTGGTCATTCAAGAAATGCAAATGAGGGCTGGGGATTTAGCTCAATGGTTCCAGCGCCTGCCTCACAAGCACAAGGGCCTGAGTTCGATCCCCAGTACCAAAAAAATAAAAAGGAAATGCAAATGAAAACAACGCTGAGATTCCGCCTCACCCCAGAAAGAATGGGTGTATGAAGAAATCAACCAATAACAAATGCTGGTGGGGCTGTGGGGAAAGAGGATCCCTGCTCCACTGCTGATGGGCTTATAGACTGGTGGAAATCAATGGAAACCACTGTGGAAATCAGTATGGAGAAACCTCAAGGAAGTAGGATTGGAAGTCCCATTTGACGCAGCTATTCCCTTCTGGGCATCTTCCCAAAAGAAATAAAAGCATCATACCACAGTGACATATGTGCACCCATGTTCATAGTAGCACAATCTGTAATAGCTAAAACTTGGAAGCAGCCCAATTGCCCATCAATGGGAGACTGGACAAAGAAAATACGTTTTTTTCTAAAATGGAGTACTACTCAGCTATAAAAAATGAGAAATTAGAGATATTTATAGCTAAATGGATGCACGCTGAGGTGATACTATTAACTCATAGTATACATGTGTGTGTGTGTGTGTGTGTGTGTGTGTGGCACACATGCGTAAACACTGAATGCTTTCTCTAATGGGAGAAACTGAAAGTGTAAATAAGACAGACGAGATTGAGCGTGTTCAGGGTGGTATAGCCATAAACTGAAAGTCTAAATAAGGACTCAAAAGTATAATAGATAATGTGAAATAAGAAGAAAAGGCACAAAGGGCAAGGGGAAATGGGAGGGGTAGGGGAAAGGAGGAAGGGAACAGAATTAATATGAGAAAATGAAAACAAAGTCTTTGTCAACAGGGAGGGATTGAAGAGTTGAAGGGAGGGCAGGGGAATGGGGAAAAAATAAGAACTATGATTGATTATGTAAAGGTACAAGTTTCCAACAATGAATGTCATTATATTGTATACATTAAATGTACCAATAAAATTCATTTTTAGATGAATATTTGTGTGTATACTTATATACTTCCAGTAGGTACACATATAATGTGTGCACTTTTGTGTAAATACCTCTGTGTGGTTACACATGTACAGATATGTGTTAGCATTACTGGATGCTAAGAAGAGACCAGAGAAGGCCTCCAAAATAAGTGACACTCAAGCAAGGACATAAAGAGACTGAAAGGGGGCATCCTGCTTGCATCTGTGGAAGAACAGTCTGAGCAGAAGGAAAGCAAGTGCCAAGGTCCTGAGGCAGGAAAGAGCTGGAATGTTCTCAGTGCTGCAGGGAGGCTGCCATGGCCAGGGCTGGGCAGGCTGCATGGATGGTATCAGAGAGACGGAGGAGTGCAGGAGTGTGTGTGTGTGTGTGTGTGTATGTGTACATGTGTGAATGTGCATGCTCATAAACACACAGAATCGGGCCCCATCTTTTTAAATCTCTCTCACTATCCCCTCTCCTTCCCCTCTTCTTTGTCCATTCAGTGATTTTGTCTGGTCTCTTGGTTGTCCTCTGTTTCTAAAGGGGGCGGTGATGGGGATTGAAAGAAAAAGACAGCCTTTCAGCTGATAAAAAGTCTACCAGCCAGAAGTGGTGGCGCACGCCTGTAATCCCAGCACTCCGGAGGCTGAGACAGGAGGATCGCTGTGAGTTTGAGACCAGCCTGGGCTACATCATGAGTTCCAGGTCAGTCTCAACTACATAGTGAGACCCTGTCTCAATAACAAAAAAAAAAAAAAAAAAAAAAAAAAGTCTCCCAGACCCACAAACCTTGCCTTTACTAACACCAAACACCACTTCCCACCTTAACATAGTGCATTCTTGTGTTTGCAGTTTTTGTCTGTACTCTGATTTATGAAACACTTTCTCCTGTATCCTACTTAGATATGAGTCAGCAAGTGAGACTCCTCTATTCTGTTTTCGTTATCTTTCTTATTTATTTAATTTTTACTTCCATTTAGACAAACCGTGTTTTATAAAGCTACATGGTAACACATATAAGAAAACAGCAATTAAAGGAGCAGGTGCAAAATCTTCCCTTTCTCCAAAGTCTGAAAAGTAAATCAGGCGTTGTTCCAAGCTGCACAACATTTCAGTCTGTTTAACATGAAGTTGGAAGATAGAAGTAGGTAGATGATGCAAAACAGTGATTCTCTCATTTGCCAAAGTTCTGTCCAGTAGGAAGAGTCGAGTTTCAGAATTCAAAGTTGTATTATTCTGCAGAAATAATGTCATGGTGAAGTCAGAAATTGTTTATCGTCTTGTATTTTTTCATAAGAAACTTCGGCTTGAGCAGCAGCCCAATGTGTGCTAGGGAAAAGTCAGCATGAATAGCTGAGGAGCATGGCCCTCACTGCAAGGATGCAACTACCAGTGGGCTTGGAACACCCTGGGCTTCTCCGTCACCTTCTGCTGCCACTTGTGCCCAGGGTGCACTATGACTGGGTAATCTTACGTGACACAGAGATCCACTTAGAAATTCAGTATAGAACTAAGTCCTTTGTCCGTAATGAATTTTCAAATGGACTAATTTGCTATCAACGTACTTTGATTAGGATAAGCACTTTGTTGGAAGGTACACATGGTAGAGATGAAGGGATTTACGCAATGGAGGCTGACAATTCTATTTTCTTCTCTGACAGTTAATGTTTATACCCCCGGAGGACCATCTGAGCATGAATTTGAGTTTTCCTTTGTGGCTGTTGTAAATTTATCTGGACTAGGCATGTTCATTTGCAATAAAGAGTGGCATAAATCAGAAAAACAGCCAGTGTAATTGTGACTGTTTAAGAGCACTAATGTCATTGGTTCTGTTTTGTACAGTTCTCTATTTCCCATGTCCCTAATGCAGTTTCCCTGAACAGTGAGAAGCATCCCTGAATTTTATGTATTGAGTAATACATTTGGTAGTGGTTTTTCATCACATTCTCATGCAGTACCTTGATATTTATGGTTGTTTTTAATTTTCCAATCACGAGGCATGCTTATAAATGAGGAACTGCGGGGTGGGTTGGAAGATTCGACTGCCTACCAAGGACCACAGTCAGAGATCCCTGTGAGTAGCAGGAGGCAATGGATTGTCCTTTCACAGGGTGACAAGAAGCCTTTTTCACCCATGTGTAAATCTTCTTTTCCATCCACCCAAGCATGGGCCCTCCTTTTAGCACATGGAAAACAAGCAGAATTCTCGTGTCCACATGGGCAGAAATCTTAACCCTCCCCATGGAAGGGACAGGCAGTAACTACAATGGGAGTGGAGGGAACGCAACTGCTCCCTGAGGGGAGCGGCTGTATTCATTTCAGGGATGAGATGCTTGTTCTCAGCCAGGCTCGAGATTAGCTGCACACTTATTCATATCACAGCCCTCATAAATCTACCAAAAAAGCACAGAAATATCCAACAGAAAAATAGATCCTCCAACAGCGTCTCTCAAAACACAATTCAGTGCTCTGGGAGGCTGAGGTGGGAGAATCCCAGCTCAAGTCAATCAAGTAAACTCAACAAGGTGTTGATATAGCTCAGTGCAAAGGTTCTGGGTTTAATCCCCAATACTGAAATACACAAACACACACACACACACACCCCAACAAGAAAGTGAATATAGAGCACAGGCCACTACTACTGATCCATTGGTATATACAAAGTACCATAGCTTTAACAGGTTAAGGAACACACACCCAGTATCTCGGAGTTGCTGTGGGTTAGGGGTCCAGGCCCACCTCGCCTTCGGGGGTGCAAATTGCTGGCTGCGCCTCCTCTCTCCTGGATGCCTGAGTGGAAAGTGATCTACTTCCAGATCCAGTGAGCTTCCAGCAAAATTCACCTCCTTCTGCTGTGAGGCTGAGGTCCCTGGCTTCTTTCTGACTGTCATTCGGGGTTACTCACAGCAGGCACCAGCCACAGTCTTGCCTTGCAGAAGCCAACTTACTTGACCACCTACTTCTCCAAAGCCTGCAAAGGTGGCAGTCTCCAGCATGGCTCCTTAGTCTGCAACAAGTCACAGGCATGATGAATCCTCGCTTTTGCCATAGACCGATAGCTACAAGCAAGTTCCTGCCCACTGAAGGGAGGAAATAACACCGAGACAAAAAGGACTAGAGCCAGGGGTCAGGGAATCACCTCACAGCCTGTCTCTGCCACTACTCTAAACCAGTTCTTTGCTTCTTACATCTCATCTTGCTCCAAAAAGGACGAGGAGGGCCTGATGGCCACAGCCCTCCAGAGAAGACCACTGAGCCACCACCAGCATGCACAGTGAACCGAATACCCTGGAACACCTTTTGCACTTAGGTGAGCCACATTTAAGGTCGAGTGATTTTGTGACATATAGATCACTTTGAGGCCGTATTGCCCATTCCAGAAAGAGCCATCATGAAATCTAGTGGGATAAGCATCAGATCTGAATACACCAAGTGGAAAATAAAGGAGAACCTGGAGACTGGAGAGTGTGCAGCTATGTGTCTCTGGCAGTCACTTCTTCTTCTTCTTCTTCTTCTTCTTCTTCTTCTTCTTCTTCTTCTTCTTCTTCTTCTTCTTCTTCTTCTTCTTCTTCTTCTTTTCTTCTCTCTTCCTCTTCCTCTTCTTCTTCTTCTTCTTTCCCCCTCCTCCTCCCTCCCCCCTCCTCCTCCTTCTTCCTTTTCTCCTTCTCCTTCTCCTCCTTCTCCTCCTGCTCCTCCTTCCTCCTCCTCCTCCTTCTTCTTCTCCTTCCAATTCTCCCTGCCCATTTCCTGCCTTCACCCTCT